AAGGAGGCGAGTGTTATTAAAATTGTTAATAAAATATATTTTATAATTTTTCGTCGTAATTACCTTAAGAGAATTTTCAAGTGAAACGTTAGAAAATTGGGCGTTGATTAGAAAGTGTAACTTTGCTAAAACTGTAAAATTCTGAAATTTTGAAGACACTTAAAATATTATTAATAAATGGCCCTTAAAATAAATCTAAAAGCAACTACAGTTTTTGAAATATAAATGATGGCAACACGAATTGAAAACATGAAGAGATATGATAAAAACACTATTAAGCACAAAATTTAATTGATATTAGCGCACTTTAATACAAAAGAAGAACTGAGAAGAGACGCTATTGACGTTGGAAACATTTACTTTTCGAAATTGATGCTTTAGAAATGATAAATTGGTTCAATTCTGTAACATGAAACTGAAAATTTCAATGCTGAAACTACTGCTCAAAACGATTCTACAAGTGAAAAAACCAATAGATCGAAGAAAAACTTCGTCAAGAAGCGAATATTTGTTTCCTGGTCAAGTACAAACTTTGTAGCAGCAAAAGCCAAGTGTAGATATTCTTGTTAATCACATCGCTTTTAAGCAGTAAATGAGGCAAATATTGTGGAAACAAATAAACGAACGAAAAGGCGAAGATACAAAACAGAGAAAAATTACAGAAGATACTACAGAAAGGCAGCACTTGAAGCGAGCAGAAAATAAGCCTAAAGCATCCGACAAGATACAGATAAATGTTGAAAATTTGAGAATTAAAAAAACATTACAGCTCACTAAATCCATCGACTCACAGGCAGACACATTCATTTGCATTGTCATCATACCCAACATAAAAACAGTCAAATAAATCTGCATAAACAAACCATGTAAAAATATCGAAGATCTGAATGCAAGACACGAAATTTTCAATTTACATAAGGGACGACAGGCAGCAGTTTCCAAGCGATGTTGAAAAGTGCTGTGAAGGAGCATAGCAATGAGTGAGAGAAAGAATAAAGAAATAGTTAAAATTGGGAGTGAAGGTATTTTAGCAAACAAACAGTTCATCTATTGTTCACAGATGCCTCTTTAAACAGAGTTGCATCCCACAGTAAGTAATTTGTAATAAAGTCGATATCGCTAAGATAATTAATGAGAAAAATATATTCAACGCTTAACCGCAACTACCACAAATACCTTAAAGCAAATAAGTTTCTCAAGCTTGGTCCTTAACATCGGTTTCAGAGAAAAAAAAACGTAAGATTTTGAAATGTGAACTTCTTCCTTGAAACCACAAAACTCAGGAGATTTACATACGTGATCGTCGTACAAAAGGCGTAATTTATATAGTTTGTAGTTTGACTATACGTGGTTTTAGGTCGATTTCAACCACAAATTTGGGTTTTTGAGACGATTTTAACATAAAATGAGTACCATGTCGAATGGTCTAAAAGACGCATATTTTCGAGAAGCTGGATGACCATGATTAATGTTTTTGTCACGTTTTTCAAATAATTCGAAGATATAAGTACTTTTGAGGGATAGAGAGCCATTTTAAGAAACAAATGTCCCAAAAGTACGTGGAATTTGCCATTTATTTCAATATGTCTGCTACACAATCTGTCAGAATTATTTTCGTGATTAATGGGGTATGAGGAAAACTATGCGCAGTTTACTTTGTAAATTTTTATAAAATTATCAATATTTTTCCATGTTTCGGTGGAAAATTAATGTGTTTTTAAACGACAAACGTTTTCTTCATCGCGTGTTTCAGCATCGAGTCGTCCAGGTTTTTTTGCGATTTTCCCAATTAGAAACTTTAGTTTGCAGTCATCAAGCTACAAAAACTGTCTCATATTGAACAAACGCAATTAAAAAAATTACCTATTCTGGTAGCTGCTTTGCAACTGAAGTAAAATTTTTTATTTTCGGAAAATCATCCACGTTTTCAGCTTTTTTCAGGACTTTTTTAGTGCATGATAAAACATGAATAAAGGGTTTTGCTTTAAAGCAAGAAAAACCTTCCTGACTGTTTCACGTTTAGTTTATTATGCTTTTTACATTGTGGTGTCGAGAGGTTGGGCACAACTAATACATTGATCTAATGGATATCTATGTTGAATTTTGAGATCTAATAAAGTTTAATGGATTTGTTGTGCTGAGCCCTTCGGGTCCGACATTAACGTGAATGCAAAAAAAAGAATGTTTTTCTAACACCCATTGACATGGTATTTAATTTCAGTTGAAATTGTCTCAAAAACCGAAACATTACGTCCAATTCTTGAAATTAATTCTTAAAGGCAAATTCGAAGATAGATAATTTTTTTTCAGAAAAACTGTAACATCCGAACATTCATTTGAATCAGTTTTAGTTTCGACTTAAGCATCTTCATGTCCCGTTACACAGAAAAACAACTGCATTGAATTTTAACAATGATGAGTGAAGTTGCTTTAGAATTTTTGGTATTATTACATTTTTTCCTAGTTTTCCATCGAATTGTCTTCAAAAGTTCATACTCCAAATTAAACAGTCTGGTGCTAAGAAAGCCTGAACATCATTCAACCGCTTGCCACAATTGTAAGAAACCCCTGAATTAAAATGTGCGGTCAGTGATCTCTGGGGAATAAATCCGAAAATATTGCGTCCCATTTCATTTTTAAGTAGTACTCCCTAGGGCGAGACAAAGCAAAAGTGCCGGGAAAGCCCAGGGACTATTTTCCTTTTATGCACAGAGCAAAGCAGATTTTTGCATGACGACGAAATGAATGCCGCCCGTTTCAAAAACCGAGGGGGCGAACAATGAAAAAGCTTTTCGGATAAGTAATGCGGAACGTCGCAGGTTAAAATACTCACCATTCAAAGTTTATGGAGCTTTAATTAATAATCGGAATAATTACTGGAAGCGGAAGATAAAATCTGAAGGTGTACGAGTGGGTTTGGTGGAAACAGTTGTTCACAAAGTCTTTGGCTCGATGCCTACTAAATATTACGTGCTATGAATGTCTTATTTCACCTGCCACTGTTGATACAACTGCTTTATGATCGACGACAATAAAGCCCTTTAGAGCTGTATCAAGCTCATTTTATTTCTGTGAGGAAAAACCTTCATTTAATAAGTTATTCATATTCTAAAGCCCCTAATATGTTTAGCTTCTCTCGACTTCTGAACGACCCCACGTCGAGTTCTCCTTCGCTTTTATATGTAAATGGCATTTTCCAATTTTCCCATAAAACCGTTTTCTTAAAAATGCGATGATTTATTTATTGCCTCGTGACTCGAACAAGACAGCATATTTCACCAGTAAGCAAGCGAGCGTCTTTTATCAAATGCAACTGTTGATATTGAGATTTTGCCCCCAGTTTGCACGGATTGATGAAAACTAGGAAATTAATTTTACTTACCAGCAACATTCACATTGGCGGCACTGCTAATAACCACTTGCCTGCTCAGTCTGTGCATAGTTCGGCAACGATATGTAGGAAACTGATCACCAAAGTCCAAATTGTGGATGAGGAGTTCACCTGAAGGCAGTTGATGAAACTTTCCATCTGAAAATGAATCACTTTTTTGAGAATTAACTCTACATGGACTGTAGGAGATGATAATAATACACCTGTAATTAAAGTAGAATCCGCAAAAAAGCAGGCGGAACTTAAATTAATCCTTTGTGCGGTATTTGATGAACTGAAAAAAATCTTAAAGCTGTTGCAGAGAATGATAAAGAAGTAGAAGAACCAATGGATGAAACGTTGATTATGCAAAGTACTTGAAAAGTACAGTTTAAAATTTTTTTCGCCAATTTTTAAATCGCCAACAGAACTTTGTGCCCCCGAGCAGTTTGTTGACCTGAATAAAAATTTTACTTGTCTTGGAATAGGAATTAATGAAACATAGAG